CACGCCGGCCTTTGCTCGCTGCTCCTGCCTGGGGCCAGCCAGCTTCACTCCGTTGCTTGGCACCTACGTATGCAAATTAACGGCCATCTTTGTTGGCGGTTAACGGCCATCTTTCTTGGCAGTTAATTTGCATATTGCCCTGATTAGCCTATGGGAAGTGTAGCGAAGGTACGGTCAATTACCCTTTTTGTCTTTTATTAGATAGGATCATACAGATAACAGGTATATATATGCCTCCAACTCTACTTATCTTTGAGTGACAGTTATACTCAGGGCACGAGAAGGAACATGAGGATTATCTGATGCAAACACCACACTTTCCAAGTGACCCAGAAAAATGTATGCAACCAGGGAAGAATTTAGGCAGCGAGGGGTTATGTTTACCAGCACTAAGCTCCAGTTCCCTCATCTGCCCAAACATGGACAGCAACTTACCCCCAGGGCTGGGCACAGAACAGGGAGAATGTGCAGAAATGCCCAGCTCAGGACATACGAACAGCAGCTGCTCTGCTTACACGTTGCCACCACCAAAGTCACCCCATTCAGTGGCAACACAGCCAGGATGAGACACCAGGCCTCCACTCCCAGACACTGCTTTTCCCTTCCCTTCCTGCCCCATCACTTGTTCACCTTTGCACTCAATGCTCAAATTCTTACGAACTAACAGAGCTGCTCAAACAAAGTAGAAGACCACCAGGAAAAGTACCCTGAACCAAGCTGGGGGCGGGCTGGTACCCACACTAACATTCTCCACATCTGCCAGCACTGTGCCGAGCACACAGGAAGTGCCCAGACACATGAATGATTAACCCACTGCCCACAACTCAATGTTTTATGGCTTTTTCTTATAAATTACAGTGTCCGCTAAGGACAATATTTCTCATTTTAACCCAAACTTTTAATTTCTTAAAGTGAAACTGACACACAACAAAAGACACAAATCAATGCATTTGAGACATGAATACACCTACGCAACTACCACCCGGATGAGGGTGCAGAACACTCCCGAACCCCAGGAGACTGGCTCGTGCCCTCTCTCAGCTGGTACTGAACCCGCCGCCACTCACCAAGAAAACCACTATCCTCATTTCCATGAGCAAAGGTTCACTTTTCCTGTTTTTGAGCTTCATGTAAATGGAATGATATAACCACAATTTTCTCAGAAATTATAAGAACTCAGCAATATACTCACAAGAAGAGTTCCGGGAAAGCGTGCACCCACACGATAGCCTGGGAATCTTCATTCCGTGAGGCAATATTGCCTAAGAACTGCAAGCCACAGCGAAAAGCTGAGAATTTATGAATAAAAAAGATGTATGGTTTTTAGAAATTTTAACATAATGAATAAAGTCATCTTAGTAAGAAATTCCCAACATTTTTAAATAGGAAGTTTCTGTTATCTTTTTTTAACAATGACGGTGTCTGGTCACAGGAAACTTTGCACATGACATGAATATTAAATGCCTTACAAAACAATGCACTCTACAAAGTTAACTAACTTCTGGAAAAGATTATCAATGTCAACACATATACCTGTAATTAAGTTAACCATGGAATATGTGCTCTAATTTTTAAAAAGTTACTCTTAGACTAGAGTTTTTATAGTTAAAGCATGGTAAAAATGATTTAAAAAAAAAAGATATACTGGACAAATACCATTCTAAAAAGAACATCATAGACCATATAAAATCAGACATAATAAACCTTAAGGCTAATGCTTAAGGCAAAAAGCATTACTGAAGATTTTTATAAAGTCATTTCAGAATGACTTAATTCACCAGGAAGATATAACAATTTTAAATCGGAATGACCCAATAACATGGCCTCAAATATATAAGTAAAAGAAAAATTGACAGAGTATAAAGAGGAAAATCCACAATTAAATTGGATAATTATAATACAAACAAAAACATCAGTATACTGGTATTTAAAAGAATTGAATATGACTTATTGACAACCTTGCTGATGTGTTTAGAATATTTCATCAAATAAAAGTGCAAAATGCTGGACAAAATCTAGAATGCTGCTGACAGAGCTGGTGAGGACGGGAGAGGCAGGAACGCCCCTCAGTGCTGGGAGAACGCACGCGGGGCAGCCACTTTGAAAGACAGTTTGGTGGTTTCTTACAAAACTAAACATACTCTTGGCATGCGGTCCAGCAACCATGCTCCTCGGCATTTACCTACAGGCACTGAAAGCTGTGTCCACACAAACGGTTACAGCAGCTTTCTTTGTAACTGTCAAAACTGGGAAGCAGCCAAGGTGTCCTTCAGGAAGTGACCTGATGAACGATGTTGCATCCAGACAATGGAACAGCATTCAGAGCTAAAAAGGAATGAGCTAGCAAGCCGTGGAGACACAGAGGAAACTTCGCTGCATGTGACTCCGTGAGCGAAGCCCATCTGAAGGGGCTACATAGTGTATGTTTCCAACCGCTCCACATTCTGGAAAAGGCCAAACTATGGAGACGGTGAAAAGATGAGCGGTTGCCAGGGGTTAGGGGAGGGAGGGAGGAGGAGGTGGGACATAGAGGACTTCAGGGCAGTGACACTGTTCTTCATCGCACTGTCGTGGTGGGTACATGTCATCACACATTTGTCCCCACACCCAGAGCGAACCGAGTGTAAACCACGGACTTTCCGGGTGACATGATGTGTCGGTGGAGGCTCATCAATTGTAACAAATGAACTACTTTGGTGCCAGATGTTGGTGGGAAAGGCTGTGCAAGTGTGGGGGCAAGAAACACATGAGAAACCTCTGTACCTTCTCAATTCTGCTGTGAACCTAAAACTGCTCTGAAAAATAAACTTTATTAAAAAAAAAAAAAGAAAGAATAACAGTAAATAAAACTATTTAGTGACACAAAAAAAGAGACCTAAGTTCAATTCCCAACTTTTAGTGTGAACCTGCACAAGTTACTTAACTGTAGTCAGATGCAACTTCCTCATCAGCTAATGGTGCTAACAGTATCTGTTTGCAGAGCTGCTGTAAGGATGAGCTGTGAGCTCACTAAGTGTGAGCCTGTAGTAGGGACCACACTCAGTGCTCACTGGGCCACCCTCTCTTAACAGCACATAATATGGACTTGATAAACAGCTTAAAAAGTCAGATTTACAAATTTCAAATTAAAACGTGTTTGGTTCTATAGCCAGAGACTATCAGTGGTTCTCAACCTTCCTAACGCCGCGATCCTTTAATACAGTTCCTCATGTTGTGGTGACCCCCAATTTCATTGTTACAAATTGAAAATAATTAAAGCATAGTGATTAATCACAAAAACAATATGTAATTATATATGTGTTTTCTGATGGTCTTAGGCGACCCCTGTGAAAGGGTCATTCGATCCCCAAAGGGGTCGCGACCCACAGGTTGAGAACCGCTGCTCTAAATGGAAACCTTGAATACTTAATGTGTAAATCCTTATAAGAATCTTACTATTGAGACAGGTATGTTTATACACATTAGAGAGCACAAGAAACCAAGACCCTCACAAGTTATCAGTAACATGACCAAAGTCACACAATTATAAAGAATCGCAATTCTGGATGAATCCCTGTGATTGCGGCAACCCAATATGGTCTGAGTGTTACCTCAAGCTTATCAGAAACTCGACTCGGTAGTTATATGTGAACTTAATTAATAAAAAGGGAATTTAAAAATCTGCAGCATATGCAGTCTTCCCAAGGATATTTGCATACTGTAAGACAATATTTCACCATATAACAGAGGAAATGACAATCTCAACAAATTTAAAGAATTAATATATGAATAATGCTCACTGTGTACTAAAAATAAATCCCCCAAATGATTAGCACACCCCATAGTTTAAAATAGGAGATATAGTTCTAAATAACCCATAGGGACAAAAAAGAAATCATAACGCAAATAAAATATTTTAACCGAATGTTAAAAATACTGCACACTAAAACTTTGAGATGCAACTAAAATGGAACAGAGGGAAATCTGTAGCTTTAAAATGCATATGCTGGGAAAGATAAGCAATGAAAATAAATGAGCTAAATAAGCATTCTTTTCCAGAAACTATACAATAGCAAAATAATACCCCAAAATGAAGAAAATTAAAGATGAAGAGCAAGAAATTACTCAAATTGAAAACAATCAAAAAGAAGAGAATATCAACAAACCCAAACTGATTTCATCAAGAAGCTCAATACTGATCAACCTTTGGGAAGACTGATCAGAAGAGAGAAAGGGCACAAATAACAAAGAAAACTTTCAGAAATGAAAAGGAGGGGACTGCCAAGATCTTGCAACATAAAAAAAAAGAAAACCGTAAGATATTACAAATGATATCTTAATATCTTAAATAATATTATGCCAAAATATTTGAAAATGTAAATAAAATAACCGAAACCCGAGAATATAACTAACAAAAACGGACTCTGTAAAAAATTCCGTAAAATATTCAGGAAAAACCTGAAGAGTCCTCTAACCATTAAGGAAATTGAATCAGTAGTCAAATATTTTCCCAAAAAGAAAACCCCAGACCAAAATGTGGCCAGTTCACATTCAAGGAAAGAGTAATTCCAGTTTACACAGCTCTCCCAGAGAACTCCTACAGAAAGAGGGAGGCGACTCCCAAGCCAGCGTTCTGAGGCCAGCATCACTGAGACCCCAATCGGAACAAGGACAGAATCAAAAAGGAAGTCACACCCCTGGCACGAAACAATCCTCTAACAAAAGGCTCCGGAAGCAAATCACATGACAAAGTTGAATTTACACCTGCCTTGAAAGCAGCTTTAACATTAGAAATCAAAATTTATAACTGACCATATTAACCTGCAAAGGACAAAATCATCTGATCATCTCAAATCCTGTAGAAAACAGATTTGATGAAAGTTAACACCCACTCATAATTTAAAACAAAACAAAAAAACTCTTAGTCACCTAAGAATAGAAGGGGCCTTCTTTAACCTAAAAATAAGTATCAACGAAAACCCATAGCACACAGTATAATTACCTGCCGACTGCAGACAAAGAGTGTTCCTTCTGGAGGGAACGGGTCGACAGCCCTGCTGTTCCCGTTCCTAGTCAACATGGCACTGAAATCTGTCAGCAAGACCAAGACATGAAGCCCAAGGAGTGGAAAAGGAGAAGCAGAACTGTCATTTTACCCCTCGAGATGAAATGTCATTTCTAATCTACATAGAAAATATTAAAGTAGAACAAATTTAAGTAAGAATTATACCATGTTCACAGATTACAGGACTAGAGATTAAATGCAATTCCAGTCTGAATCACAGCAGGGTGAGGGTGTGTGTGTGTGTGTGTGTGTGTGTGTGTGTGTGTGTATAATTTCACACACCGGAAGATGTGTTTGTGTGTCTATGTAATCTGACGATATGATTTTAAAATTTGTGTGATGATACAAAGGGCCAAGCATAGTTGAGATGCTGTTCAAAGCAGTGAGAGGATTTGTTTTCACAAGACAGTGAGCCCTGTGGTGAGACAGTGTGGTCCTGGGGCAGGAAGAGATAAAGCAATAGGACAGAACAGGATAAGAAAGACTCAAACCTACGTTGACATGTGATTAACAGGGATGTAACAGCAGATAACTGAGTAAGAGACAGTCTTTTCAAAAATAATACTGGGACAACTGGGCATCAGTACGAAAAAATGGAAACTGGACTCCGTGTTCACACAACACAGAAAATGCCATTCCATGTACTAACCTAAATGCAAAGAAGTCCAAATAGAAAGGTTTTTAAAACAATAACTCTGTTAAGAAAGACTTTAAAACCAAACATAAAATAATATCCATAAAGGAAAATATTAAAAAACTATATTATATTAATAGACTACATTAAACTTAAGAACATTTTTTTTCCTCAAGATACCACAAAAAACAACAAAGAAAACTAACCCTAAAATAGGAAGACACGGAGCACATAACTGAAGCAGCTTCATGTACAGAGCACATTAAAAGAGCTCTTAGAAATCATTCAAAAAGACAAACAATCCAGTAGAAAAATAGGCCCAAAAAATCAAGAACTCAAAAAACACTTAATACAGTAGAATAGCCAAAAGGCAAATACACACACACAACACACGTGAACAGTGCTCACCCCCATGGGGAAAGCATGAGGCTCAACTACTACATCCCCACCAGACTGCGAAAGACACAGTCAGGAAATACCGCAGTGTCGTGAGGGTGTGATGGGTCAGGAGAGCAAGGCGCTACAGGCTCTGCACCCCAGCCTCCAGGAGCCTGCCCCCCAGACTGGGTGCTCCGTGTTTTTGAGTGGATACCAGTTATCTATCAGTAACT